GGTTCCTGCTGCCATGTGGCTTCTCGAACTGCCGCTGGGTGATGCTGTGCCTTTGGGGCTCCCCTAGCTGACAAGCGTGAACACCTTGTTGGATTGCTGGAGTCCCAGAGCGGGGGGCCGGCCTCCATCTCGGCAAGTGCCTGGAGGCCACAGCTCCTCTAGCACGGCAGGAAGTGGACTGGGCTTACCTGTCTGCCTCTGAGCTCCTGGGACCCTGTCCAGGCTGGACTGGGGACTTCCTTTGGGCCACTTTAGTATTTAAATTTTTTGGTGTTTGTTCCAAATGTAGAAACATGTTGTTCCCACCTTTTCCTGGAGATTTGAGGGATATTTTATGTGTTGCCAGCACCCACAGAGGCTCACACTTTGAGTGTCCACCTGAGTTTGTTGGAGGAAAACTGGACCGATGCCATGCGACACCCGTATCATTGTGTCATCTGTGTGTTTCCAGGGCCCTTCACCTTTCTGTGAGAGCTGTCCCTTTCTGTGAACAGATGTGGCTCTGGGAATGAAGTTTATGGTGACACGTACTCAGGCATGTCCATAAAGACAGGGAATGCTGCCCATGGCAGAGGCGAATTCCTAAAGACTCGAAGCACCATGGCCCTGGAGACGCTGGCCCCCGGGGCTGGCAGCTCGCTGGGTCTGGAGTGAGCTCACAGAGTGCTCCCGGCCCTGGGAGGCACTTGGGAAATTGCTCCTCTCGCCACCCATCCTCATCTGCCAGGACTTGGTCCAACCCCACAACAGGCAGCCTCCCCCACTTTCCCACCTTGGCAGGGGTGAGCCAGACGCTAGGAAGGAGGGGGTCTTAGTTCAGTTCTCCCAGAAGCAGACCCTGAGAGAGGATTCCAGAGGGAAAGACAGCCAGCAACTGTGGCCCAGCCCTGCAGGGAGTTTCTGGGGAGCACTGACTCTCACCTCAGTTACCAACACTCCCTGGTCCTTCCTGTGGAGAGGCCCCAGCTGTTTCTGTACTGACTCCTCAACCTCAGGTGAGAGCCGCTCCCAGAAGATGTGGTTCCCTGGAACTTCCTCAGCTGAGAGCTGTTCCCTGGAGATGTGGTTCCCTCACTTCCTCGAGCAGAGCAGCATCCTGGCGCAGGGAAGCCTGGCCTTGGGCAGAGAGGGTGGGTGGGGCAGGAGAAGTGTCCACAGTGCTGAGGTGCTCAGTCCTGAGGGGCATGGGGAAGGCAGTCCTATTGGCCAACGGGATGCAGGGCACGTGTGGCTGTCACCGGTCTAGAGAAGTCGGTGATCCCTTCAAGTCGCAGGATCCATCTGAGATGTGTACCAGGCCCTCTGACCTTGTGATGGGAGAAGCCGTGCCCCACAGTACGAAGAAAAGCCACTTGCTGGCTGGGCCTGGGACAGAGGCCTAGGCCAGAGACAGGTCCACGTGCAAATTCAGGTGGGTTGTCTTCATGGCTCTGCCTAAGCTGTCAGGGTCCCCAGTTTCCTTGCTGTGTAAGATATAAAATATAGCACTGTTGCCCCATCCTTATCTTCTGGCCTGTTCACCAAACTCCACGTTGGCCGTCAGACATGGTGCTGTGGGGAGACTGGGAAGGTGGGTGGCAAGCTGTGGGGGCTACCTCAGGGTGGGACCCGGGCCTTAGGGAAGGGGTGGGACGCATGACTCTCTCAGAAACTGCATCTCATGGTCCCTCAGGCTCTGTGCAAATCTGTTATCCTATTTTATCCTCACCACACCCTACTATCTTCAGTTTGCAGATAAGGACACTGAGGTGCTGGAGGCTAGGCAACCTGCCCCTCTGAGATGAAGGGAATGATGGAGCTGGGTGTGAGCCCTGGGCTGGGCCTGGGCCCTGAGCTGGGCACAGTCTGAGGCTGCCTGGCCTCTGCTCCTGGGCTGGAGGACAGCCCCTCACCCATGCCGGCCTGACCGCATGCTGCAAGGGGCTCCTCAGGGCCAGGCCTGGGCTATACCTTGTGTTCTCATCCCCAGCCTGGAACAAGACAAGCTACAGTTTCAGTTTCACATTAGTCTTTTATTATAACCATACTGAATGGGATTACTTTGCCAAAAGGATACATCATTTCTTAAACCAATGGGAGTTATAGCATAAAGATGGATGAGAAAAAAGCAATAGGATATAAATGACACAACTGCGTATTCCATCCATCAAACCAGTTGTGCCATTGTAAGAAAAATTCTGATGACAGCTTTTACATCAAAGTGGTCTCAAGTCTGCTTAGCTGAACTTTATATTTCTTTTCAATACTATAAAAAGAGGGCTTTTCAAAGTAACACTGGGGCAGTAGTCTGGCCTTGAAGAAGGAAGCCTGGCTTTCTGGGTGCTGACCTCAATCCATCTGACGCCCTCTCCCTGCTCCTTGGCCCCCCAGTGCACCTGCTCTGGACACATGGGGGCAGGGAAGAAGGGGTGGAACTAGCCATGGCTCCACAGGACAGCCACTCAGTATGCCCTCCAGATACACTTCTGTCCTGTAATGAACTCTGAGCAGTTTCTTAAAAAACAATAAAATAAAAATGAATTACTAAATTTAGATCAACTATGACAGGTTATCATTAGGAGACAGCATAACTGTCAGAGTTTTATATTTGTTCAGCATCTGAGAAAGTAAAGGCAGCATTCCTGTTAAGGGCAGGCAGCCAGACCCCCACAGCAGCTTCCTGAGTGCTGCCTGAGGACTGACAGTTGAGAGATTAAACTCAGACTTAGGCGGAGAAGGCAAATCCCAGGGAGGTCTTGGATTATTTTTAGAGTCACATTCATTCTGCAGTGATATTATTTCTTTTCAGATTGCAGTTACCTCTGAACATTAGCAGGAGGTGCTCTTTGGAAGAATAATCCAGTATAATTAAATATTTAAAGTGTTATATGACCACTTGGCACACACACAAGGTAAGGCGAATTATGTCTTCCTTTTTCTAGTCTGTAACACTTATCTGTAATGTACAGAGAGAAATTTTAACTCAAATTTCCCATATGATCAGAGAGGAATGCATGAAACAGGGGTATGTATAAAAAAGTAGATGACAGTGGAAATTAATCTAAAGTTTACCTAATATAAAATGTACTTAATTGCTATAATCAAAACATAAGAGGGGTTCCACTGATTACCACATTTGTTAAGGAAAAACTAAAAGGTTCCATATAGTCAAGATTTAAAAAATGTGCAATTAAACATAAGTACCTGATAAAATAAAAAAGAACACATATTCTTTAATAGCACTATAACTAATAAAAATGCAAACAATGTTTAACTATGAATAAAAAAAGTCACTTAGAAAAAACAGGACAGTAACAAGATTCTCCAAGTGTGAACCCAGGGAACTGGAGGCTGGTATTGCCTGTGTCCACTGAGCTTGTTGGGGGCCACAGAAACAACACCTCTGAGTGAACCGACTGGTCCTCACGTGGCACTAACCCAGGGCAGATGGAGGACCTGCCCCTAGTGTGTAGGCAGGGTTAGGAATGTCTAGGGACTACTGAACACCAGCTAACTACAGGGAACTAGCCAAGAGCCTGATTGGCAGGGTGAGCACCCAGGGACTCTTGTGTGGCTAGTGACACTCAGTTATCATGACTCTGCCTTTCAGAGAAAAGGCAATACTACAGGTGAACAGATGCCAGTGACCCACCTCCCCAAAGGTAGCCAATTCTGTGGTCCTTTCTGTCGCAGAGCCTTGGTGGGGAACAACTCCACACTCCTCACCTCAGACCTGAAAACCATAGCACCTTCCCAAGCCAAGTCCTTCGTGAGAAAGTATCTACTGGCAACCCCTGGACAGTGACAAGGGCACTCACTGAGCTGAGAGGACAGCTCGGTCAGGAGCCACAGAGCTGAACAGTGCATCTGCCAAGCAAGTGCCCAATCACAGAAGGCCAGACAACACTATTATCTGGCAAGGCCAGGGTTATCATTCACCCTACACACTGAGGTGAGAAGAGGTGATCTCTCTGCTAGAGGTTAAGGACAAATTGTAGAGCTAATTAAAACTTTCTCTGTAGTAGTTGACTTGAGTCATCACCATTTTCTTGGCGAGCCAGTGGGCAATCATGTCATTATCCCATTTGTCTACAGAGATGCATCGTTAGCAGTGGGAAGGATGTAAATAGTATCTGCTCTTCATACTTTCATCTGTTATCCTGAAGGCTGCCACTGCCAGAGCCTTGCCATCCTCTGAGGAAAGAGAGGCCCAAAGAGGCAGTTGTCCCCAATAGGGGCTGCTCTGCCTGAAGGGAAGTGGGTGTTGTCTGTCTGCAGTCCCCACCCATTCCTGCCGGAATCCCTGCTGAGGCGAAGGTGAGCAAAGTGTCCTTTCTAGCGAGCTCCTCCTTTAAGGAGAGAAATAATTCATGTGATGCTTTCTGCCCATCACAGTTTCCTAAGCTTCCAACTGTCGGGGGGAAGGGAGGAATCTCTAATGTGTACAGAGGCTCAAACTCTGGCATGTCAGACCTGGCCTGGCAGTGGTGCCCAGGATGCAGAGTTACAGCTGAGCACAGGCCCTACAGCTTCCCTGCTTGGCTCCCAGCAAGGGAAGGGGTCATGTACACATCCTGCATCCTCCCGGCATCTGGAATGTTCTCTAGGAATCCTTGTTCCCATAGAAGGGACCATTCTGGCTCTGGATGGGAATGACTTGGGTTTTCCCTTTACTCCTCAGTTGACAGGTATGTACAGGTATACTTCTTAACCAGAAAATTTACTGTCCGAAAGATTTTTATCCTATAAAGACATAGTCATATTTTAGAACTCAAGGATAGCAATATTCTTTTTTTTTTTTTGAGACAATGTCTCACTTTGTTGCCCTTGGTAGAGTGCTGTGGCGTCATAGCTCACAGCAACCTCAAACTCTGAGGCTCAATCAATTCCCTTGCCTCAGCCTCCCAAGTAGCTCGGACTACAGGAGCCTATCCCAATGCCCAGCTATTTTTAGAGAGGGGATCTTGCTCTAGCTCAGGCTGGTCTTGAACATGTGAGTGCAGGCAATCTACCCACCTCGGCCTCCCAGAGTGCTAGGATTATAGGCGTGAGCCACTGCACCCGGCTGATAGTAATATTCTTACAATTTCTGAAATTGGTGTAGCAAAGACTGGCTTAGAGTGACCATGTTTTCTGGCTGTGAATGATTCTAAAAGGTCAAATACAATTGTTTAAGGAGGGATAGGGAGGGCCAAAGTCAATTCAGCCTGAGGATTGGAAATACATTCTTAAATTAAAAAAAAAAAAATCTAATACCACATCACACCTTGATGTGTTTGCTAAGTTTAGACCATTTCTAAAGATCAATGTAAGTTTGAGAGGTCAGTAATGATTTTTTTCCAGCCCTGGAATCCACTGGGTCTAGTTCTATTGCATTTGGCTGTGCTATATGGTTTCTCAGAGTAGGAATCAAGTAGGCTGAGACATGGATTCCCACAGAGGAAGTTTTTGATATCATCCAATATTCCTAGGCCTGATGCTTTGCTCTTTCTTCTAAATATAATCAATGGAGTTGTCATACCTTCTTAGCTTGGGAGAAGGGGATGGAGGGAAAGTGGTTCTCATTGTGGCTGGGTCTTTTTTGACTGTGTGATACTGGGTCCTTCACCCGGCTAAAGGGTGGGGTGAGGGTTAGGTGAGGGCCTAGAGAGCTCTGTCTACATTCTGATGAAGGTAAGTCTGTGTGCTTTATGGCTACGTTTGCTTCTCTCTAAAGGGTTCCGAAGGGCTGTATCAGTGCCAAATACATGCTGGGAAAGAAGCATCAGTTTAGATCGGGCTCTGCTGGGGAGCCTCAGCCTGGCCGTGGGTCACTGAGGGAGTGGCTGAACCCCTGTGAGGCAGGACTGGCAGCGGTCAGATGTCCAGTGGGCTCACGATGGTGAAGCCGGAGTCCTTGCTGCTGTCGTCGTCAGGGCTGGAGCTGGGGTTGCTGGAGGAAGCTGAGGCTGGGCCCATCAGTGGGTCTGAGAACACAAGGGGGGAACAGACTGGGGCCTGGCATCTTCTAGATGTGCTTCTGAGGGTGCGAAGAGGCTGGGCCTGACCCAGAAAGGGCCCTCTGGCATTGCCCCCATCATCTTCTTTGGACACCAGGATGAAGTCATCTGAACTCCCTCTGTCTGCACACACTGGCGTGTCTGAAGAGGCCTGTGAAATATAGTCAGAAGTACAGGTGGATGAAAGAAGACACTGTGAGGCTGGGAATACTCACGGAAAGCTAGGCCACCTCATCCCGAACTGGTGCATAGGGCCAGCAGCATCTTGTTGAACCCTTCTGACGCTGAGTGTTGGTTTCCCAGGGGAACAAAGTAAACCTCCTGCTTCATAAGCCACAGGGAGAGGCAGTATTGGTGCTGCCAGGGAGAGCCCAGGCTCAGGAGCCAGTCCAGTGTGGGACCCTGCCATGCAAACCACTCTTTCTCTGTGAGATTTAATTCTCTCAGTTAAATGAAATGGGCTAAGGATGTTGCCTCCCTCCTGTCATGCGGTCACGGGGCAGTGAGATGACATGTGCAGATAGATGTGATTGTACAAGTCTTGTTCCCTAATAAGAGCTGCCAGACCTGGAGTAGCTTCACCACTTGATTAAAGCATGGCTTTCAGAAGGCCTGGTGTGTTTCTTTTCATACGTGTCCCACAGCTAGCTCATCTCGGGAGGGCACATGGAGGGTCTCCTGGGGCAATGGTGATAAGCAGTGGCTTCTATAAATATGAAAACTGAGAATGGCAACTATAAAGTATGATGGCAAGAAGTACACACATGGAATTGCTTGAGTCTATAGTTCCTTTCTTTCTAAACAATTATAAGTGGGTTTTCATTTTTTAACTTAACAGCCATGAACACAGGTAAAGGTCTGGGTTAGCAAAGTCATAGTTTGGCCAAGGATGTCCAAGGCGAGCATGGTAGAAAGAGCACTGGACCTAGTGGTAATGTAAGTTGATGGAGTCCCGCACCTGCTTTCTTGGCCCTACCCACCTACTCTCTCCAAAGCGAGGGTAGGGACTAGTGCAGGGTTCTCAAATCTAATGGGAAGTATGGAGTCCCTTGGCTGGAAGTGCCCCAGAGTCCATGGTCCTCTAGGCTGGCATGGCGTAGGTTACCCATGGGCTCCACACTGAGGCTAGAAAGGGAGTCAGCAGCACTTGTAAGGGAAATCTGGTCTCTAGCCCTGACTGACACATCCTCCTCAGCAATATGGGGTGGGAGAAGCAAGCAGTTAAATGATGCCTGATGTGCCTTCCACCTCTGACCTTCCACCTCTGGTGATTCATCAACCTCTAAGATACATGTATTCAGCAAGAGAACAGAAACAGAATTTGTCTCTCAGTGCTGAATCAATAGCCCTTGAGGTGCTTCATCAAGTTGTAAGGCTGTTTATATTCTGTTAACACATTAATTGTTACAAAAATGAAAAAATAGGGCGGTGCCTGTGGCTCGAAGGAGTGGGGCACTGGCCCCATATGCCGGAGGTAGCAGGTTCAAACCCAGCCCTGGCCAAAAACTGCAAAAATGAAAAAATACACAGCACAATCATTGAATGTGATTGCAATGCCTAAAGCTGTCTGGGGGAGGAGGACTGTCTTCCCTCTGAGATGGAGAGAAAGAACTCAAACCTCATTCCTATTACTGTCCCTGTATAAGGGCCACCTGGTCAGAGCCAGGCTCCCTCTGGGGACTGGGTATTCTCCCCTAGCCCCACACATAGTGTGCACACACCTACAGCTGCTGGGTTATCAACTTCAGCCCTCAGGTTTGACTTTTTACTTCTAAAACATGGACACTGTTCATATGCATCCTAAACCGTGAAAACCTTGAGATCTCACAATAACACAGGGCTAGAATGCTACTGAGTACAGCTTCTCTTAGGCTGACAATGAAAGGGCACATTCAGAGGGTCCTAATTTTAGAGCAGTGCTGTTACTACAGAATACCATGGGCACTTACTCTCCTTTGGAGTACAGTGAGGATATCAGCAAGACTGTGAAGAGGAGGAATACTCTCCAAAGCCTGTGACTAGAAGGATAGTCCCTGCCATGACTCATTATCTGGTGTGTTTTCTCCCCAGTTCCTAGATAAGGGTCATTGACTGGCTTAGACAAAGCAGGTTAGAGCTGACGGGGACCCTTACAACTGCCTTCTTTATTACCCTTCTTCCTGCCCACCGACATTACAAGTCAAAAAAGGAAGCCCAACAGGAGGCCTGGTGGCTTGGCCAATGTCATAGAACAAATGAAAAGACACTGCTCTCGACACTCACCTACACTTTTCTTCTAGACACAAAGATGACTTCTTTATGGATCTCCACAGGAGCCTTAACCACTACTTGGTGCTATTTAGGTCATTGATAGAAGTTTTGTAAATTCCTAAGCCAATCCTTTCTTTTTCCAGATACAGGCATGTCTTGCACAATTAGAAAAATGTTTAACCTGTCAGTCTTATGTTTTGAACTGGCCAGGACCACCACAACCTGTTCCCCCTTCCTGCTATCTCTCCCAACCCACTGTATCTCATAGCTCAAGTTCAGGTCATGGTGGAGGCAGGTGAGTCCAGCTGCAGAGCAGCAGTGCTCTGGGAGGGAAGTGAGCCTGCCCGTGCTGTCCAGGGGAACAGCCCCAGCCACATACAGATGCCGAGCTCTTGAGAAGTGGCTAGTGTGACTATGTAAGTAAACTTTTAACCTTTAATTCTATTGAATTTTAATAAATTTAAACTTAACTTTAAATGCGTGTGGCTAGCGGCTACAGTATTAGACAATATATAGATAAAAACATGAGACCTAAGTGCCAGAAAGGCATGTGATAGATGCATTAACAAGGTCCTGCCTTCTACTACAGTGGATGTGGGCTCAGGAACTTCCCAAAAGAATGTGTGAAGGACAGACCTGGGGAAGGGAGGGATGGAGTGTGGCTCTTTTCATTCCACAGAATACAATTTTACAACTCTGTTGTTTTCAGAGTTGGAGATGAGATGTGTAAATCAAACTTAACAAACAGTATTAGCCACATCACTACCACCCTTCATGGGGAGAGTGGAGCATGTGCATTCCCACAAAGAAGAATCCTCCATGGTTCCTGATGGGGAGAGGGGAGTGCAGAAGGTCATGAGCCACCTGCGCAAGGCAGGGAGCCTGGTCCTTCTGCATATCCTTTAGACATACATTAGTGATGAACCAAGAAAAGCAAAGACAACTCACTACTAAGTTAGGAATGAGCAAAGGCACAGTCCAACACAGACCCAACTTGTCTCGATGTGCCTGCCTAGCCCTTGGCCCCTTGGACACCCAGTTTCTGGCACAGTAGGTCCTTAAAACATATTTGGAAGCCTTCGGAACTCCCTATAGGCACACTTGGGATGTGTGTAGCCTGTCCACAGCCAGTGTCCCCTCTGCCCCTCCACCCACAAACAGTGAGATGGGAAACTCAGCCAGCTCCAAGCTGGCTTGGGGCGCAGGCTCCTGCAGGAAGAAGGTGGGTGGAGGCTTCCTGCCTGGTAGCGCCTTGGCCCCTTATCAGTGAGCCCAGATCCTTGGGCTTTGCTGTGGAAGGCCCTACACACTGGGCTTGTATTTCTGACTTGCTCTTATCTGGGATTTCTCTCATCTTTCCTTCCCTGAAGGAGAGAGGAGAACACTGCTTCCCCTCCTTCTCTCTTCCTTAGTAAAACCTTTTCTTAGGAGTACTGGCTTTTTTTTTTATAAACTGTTAATAGCTATGGGGAAGGGGCTATACTAGAAGGGCAGTAGAGACAATTGTAAAGTATAATCATGAAGTTTTAAATTTAGCAAATTAGTGTTTTTTAAAAGTTCTTTTCTGTAGTAATTTTACATATTCAATTAAAAAATCATGCTAAAGTTTTAAATAAAATTGTCAATTAAAAATGGTTGGTAGAGAGATAGCCCTATATTCAAAAATATTTCAATGAATAAATGATTAAAAAATAAAACATCTGTGGAGGGAGGAGAATTTGGAGAAATCAATCAAATTAAAAAGGCATAGCTAAAAACAGAGAATCAAGGTGCACCAGGAAAATTTCATACAGCTTTAAAAGAATGTTAACCACACAGTTCTCTCCTTTTGGAGAGTACCCTTAAAATTGAAAAAATTCCCATTCAAATGTCATTCTGATGTTTTAAACATCACACACAAAAAAACTTATAAGCATATGAATGCCAGTTCTTGAGAAAGTGACTTAGAAAAGATTTTGTAAGTGTTCATTTCTCAAGATGAAATTTTACAAGTTGATTTAAAGAAGAAAAAGTTATTTAGAATTTAAAGTAAGTGGGAAATGAATATTCTTTTAGTCTTATCAAATAAGGTCCAGTTAGGCAGCAGGTGCTGCTGAAGCTTACTGGGTTGGGACAGGCAATCATAACTCCTGGCTCCCCTCTGGCAGGCGAACCTTTGTGGCTTTCTGGCTTTCATTTTCTTGCTGTTGAATGAAATGAGCAGACAGGACTAAGCACACGAGGAAGCTCTAAGATCCTTGTAGCTGTAAAACCACGTGACTCTATGTTAGACTAAATTATATAGACTGAGAGCCTGGGCCGGCAAATCATGGCCAAATGTGGCTTGTAATTTGCTTTTATATGGCTCTCAAGCTGAGAATGGCTTATATTTTTTAAAGGGTTATATAAAAAACAAAAAACAAAAAATAATATAAGATAGAGATGACCACATGTGGCCTGCAAATCCTAAAATATTTATTCTCTGACCCTTTACAGGAAGCTGTGGGCCTCAGCCTTAGTGAATAGACATTTGAGAAGCCCTTCTCCACAAAGGTGAGAAAGTGACATTGGCCAAACATATTCTATCCAAGTGAAGTACACTCAAGGAAACACTAGGAAAGCATGGGAATGGAAGCATCAGCTGGAGGCAACTGACTAGTAACTATGGCAGAGATCTGGCTTTCCATTCCTGCGCAGTGTCGGTGTCAGGAGGCTCAGGAGGCCCCTGCTGCACACACAGTTACAGGCCTGCACCATGCAGCCGTAGGAGGCACTCTTCTCGCCACTCCCGGTGGGAAGGGCACGCTCCCTCTGGCAGAAGGACATATAAGCTGCACAGCTATACACACTACTCCTGGCTCAGGCCACTTGTGGTATTTCACAGTTGAAGTGACTTTGGTAGGGCTTTAATTACTTATAACTTTGAAGAACTTACATGAACGTGCTCCCTTTGAATTAACGTAATCTGTTCATCAGAGCTCTTATACCTGTTTGGTGGCCTCAGGCACTTGGTCGCTTTGGCCCTGGCCTTGGCCGCTGGAGCAGTAGTGGTTGTCTGCGATGGTGATCTGCTCATTCTCCTCAGCCTCCAATTGGCTCTGGTTAAAACGCAGGGAACCTTTTAGAATGTCTTTGATCTATTTTCAAATAAGAAAAATGAAAAAGATGAATGAGTTTGTTTTTAAATGCTAGAAAAATCTTTCAATACACTTAAATTAGGATTGTCATCAATTTTTTTTTATAGTACGGATGTTAACATTTTACATCATGAGAAGGAAATAATGGGAAAAAAATTCAACTTTATCAAAGCTGCTGACCTTGCAATGACCAAGGGAAACATCAGGTTTGATGACCAGGTTCTCCCAGAGGGAGACATGAGAGTCACATCCTTGGCAATTATCTTAAGGCAGGAAGCACCATCTGCCAGCACACTCAGCTCCACTGCACACCTTGGCCACTACTAAGTGGCCCCAGCCCAGCTGGTCCGGTCATACCATAAGTAGGCATCTGGGAACAGCATGCTCTTTTTTACTGACATTTATATCCCATTTAGCTCTCGAAGGGTTGGATAAGGCCATTGAGGGTCTCGAAGGCCATTGAGGGTCTAAAGCCTGCTGTAGGTGGTGATGACAGCTTGTGCTCCAAGGACATTCATGAATTTATAGATGACTGAACATGACACTGCTTCATGGCACACCAGCTTTGAGTGAGGAACAAATGGGTTTGGTAAGAGGGAATGGAAAACCAGACATATCAGACATAATCACTAAAAAGAAGAGGGGCATGAGGAGGTGGAGATTTAGAAGGGGCTCTTTCTGGGAAGACATGGAGGACTGGGGACACCGGCTCTACCATCAGGGCACTCCGGCTCTACCATCAGGGCACTCCATGCTCTAGGGTGCTCTCCGCACAGCAGGAAGATACAAAGTATTGCTGGAGCAATGCACACACCTGTTTTAATCCTGCCAGGGAAACCAGAATTTGATCCTCTTTTTCCAAATTTTCTTGTAGTATCACATCTTGAATATTTACTGAAAATAGAAAATGACATTTTATAACTAATGAGTATAATTTACTTGCTGTCACATCCTAACTTCAGACAAGCCTGGGAATTTCCTGCCACATTTCCTACCAACTATTCCTACCAAGGATGCTCTGCAAACTGCAGATGGGGAACTGCCAGGTTGAGTAGAGAGGGCAGCGATGGGCCTGGGGCACACAGCCTTCCCCTAAAATTGCATGCACATGCTCGCATAATGACAGGTGCATCGTCACTTCCAGCAAGACACCAGGGTACCTCTTGCTAATGAATAGGCTGACAGCCTGGACCATTCATCCAGTCTCTTCAAGGAAGCTTTTCAGCCTGGGATTCCTACACTGCCTCTTAGTTCAATGCTGTTAACTTCTCTCTGCAAAGGCTAGTTCTTTCCAGGTGACTGAAATTAATAAAGAAAATGCCTTTAAGGATTTATAACAGTAAAACATGGTGCTTTTTCAACATAATAGTAAAAATAAGAGGCCACACTCATGGCTCTAGGTTGTCGTTAGATGATAATGCCTGTGGAATCAGCAGGACTTAACCCAGGGTCTTTACAGAAGATGTTTCTCTGTGTCTTCTAGGACACGTCACCTCCACATGAGAAGTCTTTTCTCCAGAAGTGACGTGATGGACTTGCCAAGCCAGTTCTGACAAAGAGACCCAGCCCCAGCCCTGGTACGTTAAGCATGCAGTGGTCCTCAGCCTCCTCCACACTCATGGGGGATGCACACAGCCCTGCAGGGGCTGAGGTGAGATTCTCAGAAGGAGAGCTCAGGAGAAGCCGCAAAAGCCCAGGGCAGGCCAGGAGAATGTGCTGATAGGGGAGGGCACCATTAAAACACAGTTTAAAAGATAGTGAAAGGTATACCAATTTGAGAATTGCTACCATAAGTATGTTCGCCCTCCTCAAAGTCTACTTTCTTATTTTTTGTGACCTTAAAAAATGCTCCACTTATGTCTTATAAGCTATATTCTTAGCTATTCATCCAACAAAGTTGTCTCAGTGTCTATCTGAACTCTCGAATTCCCTTCTTGGGTCCCTACAGCTAGCAGAGCTAGCGCTCTCACTCCTCACCCGCTCAGGCCTGCACCGACCGAGACCGCGCCAGTCCACATCCTTTTGGCCCAGAGGCAGTCTCCAGATCTGAGCAGACTGTTCCTCCTCACTGTCCACCTTTCTGCCCCAGTGTTGTCCCTCAGAGTGGTCTTCCTGCCCACCCAAACTAAAGTAGTCCCCAAGTCACTTTCTAGTCTTTACATTATCTGTGTCACTGTGTCTATAAGCAGCCGTCACTGTCTGCCACTATCACATGTATTTGCTGTTTTGTTTTCATCCATCCTCCCTAACAGGGTGTAAGTTCCTAGGTGCTCCTCCTCAGGGCTGTATCTCCAGTCCCTGAATAATGCCTGGAGCATGACAGGTATGCAGTAAGGATTAAGTATTTACTGACTGACTGAAGGGCCAAACATGAGAAACACTCTCAAAAACTCGCACTTCAAAACACTGCTGGACTAAATATTAATGTTTCCAAAAAGTATGTCCAGTAAGGGGCAAGGCAAAGACTGATTCCACCAACATGCTTCCAGCCTGACAATTTATTAGGAGCTTCCATAGGAACTGTGCTGACGAGCCTCACATACCACAGCAGGAAAACTGCAGCTTTTATTTATTGACAAAAGTTGACTGGAGTTTTGGCTAATAGAAAGGCCTGCTCCAAAACAAGTAAGCAAGATGAATGGGAATAGAATAATAGATATAATTAGAGAGCAAATGTTTTTGGTTTCCTTAAAAGCCTGTAACAATTTGTTCTCTCTCAATAAAAAAACAAAATAGAATTCATTCAACAAGACATTAACAACAACCAACTGCAGAAAACCAACAAGAAACAGCTCTGTGGGTCTCCGAGAGGACTGAGAGGGCAACTTCTGTTTGTAGGCCTGCTGTGGCTTTTCAGGTGGAGCTGTGAGGGCCTGGGGGGCTGGCTGTGGCAGCGTGGCACTTAGCACTGGGTGGTTTGACAGGGCAGTGGCTTCTGCTCCTACTGCGCTATAGGGCAGGCTCAGATTTCCCTACTCCTGCTGGATAAGCAAGGGCGGCGTGGGGACTGCTCCCAGGCCCGGAGAAGAAGCTCAGCCAGTGGAGGCAGAAGCACCAGGATAACTGGAGGAAGCACAGGGTTTTTTTTTTTTAAGTTCAAGAAACTAATGGAAAGTTGGCCTCTAGAGGCCATCCCTACAACGCCAGGGGCCAGCATCAAGGGGAAGTCTACAGAAACTGAACGTGAACTCTCCTGCTGCCCTGATGGGATCTCTGTCTGCTGCCTGCCCCCTTGATAATCCACAGTGGAACACAGACTGCAGCAAAAGATCTGGCTCCTGTCCCCAAGGTAATGGCAGCAACAAGAAGCAAAGGCCTTTAGGGTCATATAATACAGGCTCCTAGGGCAGTCAGTTGCTCTAGTGGAAACAGAGACCTGGAAACCTGCAGGAACTCAGCTCTCCTGAGAGGCCAACAAGGACCTGGAGGGTGCTCTGAAGCCTTTCTGCAAATAACAGAGACAGGCCATCCCAGAATCCTGGCCCCAACTTTGCAGGGAGAAGAGACAGAATAGAGAAACTGAGTATGAGCATTTGCTCTGATTAAATCATTAATCTCTAGGAGACTGAGTTGCCTGTAATTGGCAAGTTTAAGCATTTTGACTGCCATTAGTGGGGATGGAACTATAAAACTTTAGAGCAAGCTTTTAGCAAACCTGAGTTTAGGTACATATATTTACTATCCTAATACAGAAGCATCAGGGTCTACACAAGATTGTACTAAATCATACTGGCTGTACTGCCTGAAAATCCTGTGACCTAGGAAGTCCTAGCCATCTTCTCTTGGATGCCTTGTTTTGCTGTGAGCCTCCCACAAACAGTATATCTACTCAAGAGTGGGGTGGTGGTGCTGCAGGGGTAAGTTGAGGAGGAGAGTGGTAGTAAAGGCAAGAGCTATGATGAAAGCCACAGTGGGGGACATCACAGAGCTTCCATATCTGCTTAGACTACCTACTTTTGGGCTTCTTTTGCTTGTGAAAAACTAATAGCCTCCTAATGTATTTATCCCCCCCCTCCCACCAGGTTTATGTTGTCAGCAGCTCTACCAGTTTCCTAGGGGTGCTGTAACAAAGTACCAAAAACTGGACGGCTTAAAACTACATAAATTTATTCTCTTAGAGTTCTAAAGGCTAGAAGTCTCAAGTCAAGGTGTTGGCAGGGTCATGATTCCTCTGAAGTTAGAGAGAAGAACTCTTCCTTGACTCTACCTATCCTCTGGTGGTTGTCGACAATCCTTAGCATTTCTTGCTTGTAGATACATCATTCCAATCTTTGCCTCCATCATCACACAACATTTTCTCTGAGTGTCTGTGTCCAAATTCTCCTCTTCTTATAAGGATATCAGTCATCAGATCAGGGCTTACCCTAATCCACTATCCTCTTATCTGTACTCAATGACATCTATAAAGATGCTATTTCCAAATACAGTCACATTCACAGACTGCTTATGAATATTTGCGAGACAACATTTGACCCAGTAGAGCAGTCAGTTGTAACCTAATTATTACACAGGACGAAAATCATCCAGAAAAAACAAATGTCAAACTAGAAGCAACCCACAACTCCCAAGGAAAAATAGGAAGCAGGTATCTACCTGTGGACAACTGTTCTTGGAAGAAACATTGTGAAACCACAGAGAAGCAGTGGGGGACACTCAGTGTGGGGAAAAAGGTGACCAAGTAGTATATTTGATAATATCAAAGCATGCCCAGGGAATTAGCAGGATAGACCTCTGGGGTCTCTCCACTACACAGATTGGGGACCTGCTTGGAATCTGTGCAGAGTCATTGCACCAGACAAGAGTGGTGGGAATTGGGCAGTGTTAAAGCCATCCTTAGATCCGGGAGCATGACACTACATTGGCACCGGACACAGCTTTACAGCTGTGGCCTTCACATGTCCTCACCAGGCTGGGGAGGCAGTGGACTAACTGGAAGCTCCTGTAAGCTGTACCTAGTGACTGGAAGCTAAGCATCCCTCCCCCAACAGTGCAAAGGGATCTGAACGTGAGAACCTACTGGGGTGCTATGAACGTCAACCTGGGAGGTTTTGGGCAACTGCTTCAGTGGGTCCTGGGGGGTGTTGAGAGAACTCTGTAGTCCCTGGGCCCCTGGAACTGACCTCTGCCCATGTGACTTTGCATCTATGTGGTCCTTGAACCTGCAGAACAGCTCACCACCAGCTCAGCCCCAACTTGGCCCTCCAGGTCAGATGAGTCCTGCTGCCCACAAGGTCCTGCTTCTGGCTGTGAGGCTAGGATCAGTACCTCTGCTTCTGGTTTGTCCCCAGTTTTGGCTCTGAGGCTCATATGCTGGAGCCTCTGCTTCTGTGCTTTCAGAGCTCCTTCCAGGCCTAAGATACCATCTCAGAGATATCAGCCCTATACCTGGACCCCAAGATCCCACCCTGGACCCTTTGCCACTGTCACAGGGTGAGCAGAACTGCTCTAAAGTCCAAGGCCCTGCCAGGAACACCCCAGCTTTGAGCCTTCAGTACACTGGAACCTGGTTTGAGCAAATGCCCATAGCATGAAAACTCAGGACCACTGCATGGATAGCATTACCTACCTGCCACTGGTTACCTCCCTGGGCAAAGCAATCCCCACAACATCAGCTTCAGTGAAGAGGGTCTTGCCTAGCTCCCAACTTGAACATCCTACAACTATCTAGTGAACAACCTAATACCCGCCAGCACAAACAGCATCCAGCACAGGTATGAACAGAGGCAACCACAGGTGAACATATCAAATCAGAACAGCTGTATCATAAGCTTCTATGACATGCCTGCCCCTGCCACATCAACATTCCAGAGCAGGGAGAAAAAAGCACCATTTAGGGACCTCCCCTTCTTTTAATTAAGCAGGAGAATTCCCAGCAAAAAACAGGGGCCCTGAAA